GGCCAGCCCTTGGACACATCTGTGTTTAACCTCGCCAGTCACCCCGTGGGACAGCGAGATAAAAACCCAAGGGGAACCAGCAGAGGGGACTTTGGTTACGCTGCTGCCTCAAGGGAACCCTGGAGGGCTCCTGTGCCGCAATTTCCAGCCCCGAGGCTCTCGGGCTGACCTTGTCTCCTCTTTGCCTCGCTCTGCTCTCCCAGGCGCCTCCCATTTGACCCGTTTTGATCAGGCCCGCACGTTTGTGATTTTAGGAGGTGAACCGGGAAAATAAGAAGTGCAAGTTACACCTGACAAACTGTCCTCTGTGAGTGTAGGGGACAACGGGGTGACTCTAGCAAAGGATGGATGGAAGGAGGGTGAGTGCAAGGACCAGCAAAGGGCTCGTGGTGCTGTTTMAGGTTCAAGGTTGCCCCCAGGAGAGGAGGAAAGCTCTTCCCACCTCACCAAGGATGAAACTCGCACCGAAGGTGTCAAAAAGAGCAGAGCCGAGGCCAGGCAGGTGGGACGGCTGACTCCGGCTTTAAAAGCCCTTCTCTGCTTTTTTAAACCTGCCAGCTCCTGCTGCTGCTTCGTATCGAAGGCATTTGTCACAGCAGCCGCTCCATCCCGCGCTGCCGGCTGTCCCAGGCTGTGCAGGGTCACAAAATGCGGGCTGGGAGAAGAGCCGGGAGGGGTGTCCCGCATCCCTCGGCAGGCGGGGATGGGATGGCAGCGGCACCCATGGCTCGCTCGGCTCTGCCCATCCCGCTCCCGCAGCCCCGGCTCCATCGCTCCCCCGCCCCGGCGCCATAAATCGGGAGGAAAAGTTTCTCATCTCGGCTTGTTCTCGCAGCGCCGTCCAACAGAGCACAAGGCTGTCTAATCAGGAGCTACAGTCCTTCACCATCTGTTTGGAGCCTAATTACGAATGCAGGAAAATAATGTGCTCCACAATTGCACCAGTAAATGCTGTAAATGATTTAAATGCATGCATATGTTCCCTGCAGAATTCAGCATGCATCTGCGACTTCTTCTGCTCACATTAGGCACACAAATCAAGGGAAAAAATACCCAGATCTGACGAACAGCATGTCCCTAGGACGGTGATTTTTATCCTTTTTTTTTCCCCCTGCTGGAATGGCAAACAGGGCTTTTTTGTAACAATTCATCCAGCAGCGTTTTCTTTGCTTCCATTTTAAAAACTGTTTATCACTGCTGTGTAAATATAGTACAAATTACTCCATAAAACATGCAAAAGGAGAACAGCAGCCGGGCAAGCCTGCAGCTGGCTGGCGAGGTTTCAAAGCCAAGGTTTGTGTTTTTCCTCTGGGGCACCCACGGAGGGGCAGGACCAGCTCAGCTCAGCTGCTGGGGATGGACAGTGGCCCTTCCCAGCCCCTTTCAAACCAGAAACATGGTTTGAGTGGGAAGGGACCTTAAAAGGACCTTTGCAACTGGTATGAGGTGAGTGTTGCTCCACAATAAAAATTCCCTTCCCTCCTCCAGCACATTTGTTTGCTTTAAAGCCCCCAACACCAACCCTTAACTGCTCCAGCCCTGAAGCAGGAAGGGGGAGCCGGCTCCAAAGAGCTGAGGGAGGATAGAACCGGGYTGGGCATAGGCTCAGTTGGTCTCTTTGGAGCAGAGGCTGCAGCAGATGCGGCCCCTCTGCTTTGAGCCCTTTCATCCCTTCCCCTCCTGCTCCCCGCTGCCTTGCTGCCACTGCTTTGCCAGTTCCCAGCTTTCTTTCCCCCTCAGCCAGCTGGATTTAACTCCAAAAGCTGCTGGAAAAGGGCAGTGTGGGGCAGGTACAGCATCCCCATCATGGCAGGACTGGGACTCTCCATGCCCTGGATCACACTGCTGGGCACCATTCAGGGATTTGTGTCCTTTGTTTCCCCCTCAGGAACTGTGCAATGCATTCGTGGCTTGCTGTACACCCAGGAATGAGATGGGCCAAGCCCTGCAGAGAGCACCTGGTCCTTCCTGTGCCAGCCAGACCCACACCCACCTTCCAGGGCTGGGAAATGGGAAAACAGGGAAAACATGTCCTGCTGGCCCAGGGGATGGTGATAATCACAGAAACAAAACCCGGGAATTGGGGCAGGTGAGGAGGACACACAGACTCAGATCCGCTCCAGCCCTGCCCACACCTCTGGACCTCAGGGATCCCAGTTCTGGGGAGCAGCTCCCCGTTGTAAAGCTCTTAGAGAGCTGGAAGAAAGGCAGTGGAAGCTCCTAGCTCCATGTCAGCAAGGAGGTTTGCATCCCTGCCATGTTTCTTCTGGCCAGAGCATCATTCCAGGCCTGGGAAGGGGGTCCAGAGCTGCTTTTGTTAATGAAGATGCATTAATCAGCTTGGGGTGGAAGAGACCTTGAAGATCACCCRGTTCCAAACCCCTTCCRTGGGYAGGGACACCRATTGAGCCCCTCCAGACACAAGATGGAGCTGCACTCTGGTGCACCCACGATCCACCATCCTTCATTCCACCTGCCCACCACCATTTCCCTCCTCATCCCGCTTTTCCTTGCCCCCAACTCCTCAGCCTGGCCCACGCCGAGCAGCAGCTGGGACTTGTCCCAGGCACTGTAATTACCTCCCTGTTGTTATATGCAATTCCCTTAAATCATCCATCCCCTCTTGCAGGGGGATCACCCACAGCTCCTGGCTCCGAGGCCTGGCAGCATCCAGCCCCATTCCATGGCGTTCACACCAGCATTCCCGGCTTTATTCCCAGAMTTTTACTCTTGCCCAATTTATATCTGTATCAATATTAACCTTCCTTAGCTGAATGCCACCCAAAAAACCAAAGGATAAATCCCCTTTTTGCTCCCTTCCCGATGCCATGGGAATTCCCTCCACACCCACTGTGTGTCATTTGGGGATATTCCATTGGAATAACCTTGCTCTCAAAGCAGTTCTCCCAGGGCTCCTTCTCCCAGCCCCTGCCAGGGATTTCTCTGAGTTTACAATCCAAGCTGAGAGAGAAGGATGACCAGAAGGAAAAATGCACGCTAGAACTGCATGCATCAGTGYGTCTCCAAGAGAAATTATTCCAGACACCAGCACAGGATCAAGAATTATCTTTATTAGCAACGGTACCGGATAATTAACTTCTCCCTCCAGAGGAATTTGGTCAGCAGCACCAAGGAGAGGAGGGGCAGAGATGCAAARTAGTAAGAAAACAAGCTGAATTTCATCATCCCTTGGATTGGGGAAAATGCTTGAAGGCCACAAAGGGACTTTTTGGTTGCCAGCACCAGRTTGGGTGGGCCTTTCGACCAACTGCTGTGTTATTCCAGCACCAGGGAGGGGATAGGAGCACTGACTCCAGTAAGGAGCACCCAGCACTCTCACCCTCAGCCCTTGGGTGGGCCCTCCCCTGGGTCATGGCAGTCCCTGGCCAAGTGTGGGGGCCAAAGGACTCCAAACCCACCAAAGGGACACGATTAAGTGCCCACAYTTGCCATAAATCTGCCCCTCACTGAAAAATCTTCCCCTTGTGGATTTGATGCTGAAACAGATAGAATCTATAAAGTGTGCATTGCCAAGGGGCCCAAACCAAACCCTGGGAAGGATTTACTTAAAAACCCCCATGTACACCACACCCAGGGCAATAACCACCCTGGATCCTGCTGCTCTCCCAGCAAAGTCCCACACCCAACAGCTCCACCACTACTGGGACACGCAGGAGGTGCTGAGAGCATCCCCACAATGGAGCATCTGCCCCTAACCCACTCTTAAAGGAATTAATTTCCACAGACAGCATCTCCAAGGCATCACTGCCATTATACCCGTGCTTATCAGTTCACCTCTCCCAGACCATAAATCCAGCCAATTTGAGAAAATAAATACAATAATCGGATTTGGTCCAGGCTGTGCTGGCATATGGGAGTTTAAATGACTTTAAAAGCCAGTCCTCTTTGGGTGGGCTGTATTTTTGGGTGTCACAGTAGCTCACCCCTCTGAACACATCTGGAGGCCATATGCTGCCTGTCTACATGAATTACCCAGATTTCAGCTGTGAACCTTACACCAGGGCCTCCCTCATACYCTTCCCTAGCTTTCACAGAGCTCTCTGAACACAGACTAAAGACATCTCAGAAACCCCAGGTTAGGAGGACCCCCCAGCATTTCCCTTTTCTTGGGGGTTACACCACAGTCACAGCAGGAGAAATGCTCCTCTCAGCTTGGCCACCCCAGTACTAATGGCACCATGCTAGGAGGTACATGATCCCTCAATTCAACTTTACGTGGAAAAATTAAAGCAAACAAGAGTCCAAGTGGAAAGATTTCCCTTACATGCATTTTTGTGGAATGATCATACGAAATCTGTGAAAAAGAGTGCCCTGATTCCTGGGTGCAGCTGCTACTCGCTCCCTAAATTGTGTGAAGCTGCTCCAGGGCTCAAATCCCTTTTAGCTATCCATTCCCTAAATTGTGAGGGTGCCCCAGGGCTCAAATCCCTTTTAGATCAACACCACCATCACAGCTTGGTGAGGGGGGATCTCCCCCAAAGACCACCCGACCCCTGAAGGGCTGAACTTGTAACAGTGTGGCAGCAAAACCCAAGGTCCCCCCAAAAGCCCTRGGTTCAGCCTAAAACCCCTGGCACAGGGGTGAGGGACAGTATTCCTGTATCCTTGGTGTTTCCCTGAGCTCCCTGGGGAGGATGAGGCTGTTTTGGTCCCTGCTCCATTGAACCACAGAGCATCAATGTCTGACACAACCTCCCCAAGCACAGGAGATGCCCCTTCCCAGAAGGGAAACGTTTCCTCTGCATCCCCTGGATGCAGCTACCCCCCACTTCCCAAGACAGGCAGCCTGCCTCAAAAACACAACAGGCCTGGCTTTTTTTGGGGGAAAAAAAACCCCTAAATACCCAATGGCAGCACCACAAAACAAGGGCCCCCCTATATGAGGTGCTCCACAAAAATAGCACAGGCAGACCCYAGAGCCAGCCCCAGCACGAGGTAAAACGTCATCACCACCCCTGCTGCCTCAGCCAGCTCTTTGGGCACGATTTTGGGGCCGTAGACCATGACCAGCGTGCCCAGGTAGCCATTGCTGAGCCCCAGCAGTGCCGTGAAGACCACGGGGWAGATGTCCCGGTTGAACACCACGGTCCGGATGTGAGCCCGGGGCTGGTAGTTGCTGAGGATGAAGAGAGGGATGAAGACAGTTCTGAGGAGGACGAGGGCAGGCAGCAGTTTGCTCTTGGGGCCGGGCACCTGGATCCAGGCAGTGAYCTGCCTCCCGCACCAGTCAGCAAAGTTGTACAGGAGGAAACACGTGAGCGGCGTGAAGTACTTGGTGCTCCACGGGCTCCCAGAGGACCTGCTGACGGACTCGATGTTGGAGGAGAGGGAGGGGAAGATGATGATGGAGATGAAGAAGACGTAAAAGAGGCAGAAGCCGAGGAGRGCAGTCTTCTGCAGGATGGGGCGGAGCGGGGGGATGCTGGTGCTTCTCACGAGTGAGCAGGAATTTGCAGCGCTCCCTGGCTCTGCCTCGTCTTCCGCGGAGCTGTCAGGGGGCACAGGGACCAGGGCRGGGCTCTCCTTCAGGCTGCTCAGGTAATACCTGGAGACAGAGGGAAGAGTAGGGGAATACACGTGAGCTTTGGGGAGAGGGCTGGAGCAAAGCTGGTGGCACAGGGATGCTCGCTGGACCCACCTCCAGCTCCCCCATCACACAGAGAGGTGTCCCTTGCACACCCACCATCCCCTCTCCCTGTCTCTGTGCCCCTTCCACACCCACCATCCCCTCTCCCTGTCTCTGTGCCCCTTGCACACCCACCATTCCCTCTCCCCAATTCTTGGTGACTCTTGCACATCCACCA